CCAAAAAGGAGCATTAGCAGAAGTACCTGCCTGCTGGAAGCCTATCAAGCTTGTAGCCCAACATTTAGCAGCACACACTTGCTTCTTTCCAGGCTCTCTTGGCTGCTCGCGTAGAGCTATCCAAAGGAGAGATCTGGATGCGTAATACCTAGGCCTGACCCCACCCAAGGAAGAAAGCCCGCCCTTGCTAATTTGCTTGACTAGTCGCCCTTTATAGAGTGGGTTTCTCTGACTATTCGTAGGCCAGGCTAGGCTTCATTTATTCTTTTTGAGATTTGCAGTAGCAAGAACGGAAAGTGTTTATGATTGAAGTTGAATTTAGAATGTGTCTTACACGGTATAGTACAGTGCTCGAAGTAGTTCATGGACAGGTAGATGAATTTTTTAGCCCAGCAGTGTGTTTAAGTGAAGTGACTGTATGACTTCTAGTACATGAATTAAATTGCTTCCATCTTCTAGATGGAAGGTGCTGGATAGGGAAAAACCTCTAGTTAATGAGGATATAATTAGTTAGTAACAGGGAGGTAAATGGTTCGAAACTATGAATGTATGTATTTTCACTGAGAAATTAGCAAGTAAATATTTTACCTATGGTAAGTGTAACTTATTTCCAATATTTAAGCCTGAAATGTTAACAACATATAATAGGAATAACAAACAGTCTCTTCAGTTGTATTATTCTAAACAACAGAGTAGTGCATTGTCTTTCATGTTTCCCAGGTTTTCAGTTAACTGAAAAATGGCTAGGTAGTGTTTGCAATGAACGGGCCTTTAACCCTCTTTCCAGCCCATTCACTACTAGCATCCATTACCAGCCACAGATACCTTTTCTGAAGTATAGAAGGTCTAAACAGCTTAGTGAAACCATAGCTTTGTTGTGTCGTCCTGTGAATGACAATATGCCTTCTAAGTTACAAATGTGTTGGAAGGATCGGTTTTTCATTATCTGACTTCCCTGTGTCATAAAGTGTCTAAAAGTTAGAATTACTCTGTATCACTTGAGGTGATAAATGAAGCCTGTAGAAAGATACGATGTAGTTCAAGCTCAGATTCTTAACCTTGATGCAAGAAGTGCTGGACAAATTATTATGTGTAATGTTACAAGTTGGCTTAGATTATCAAAGTGATTTTTCTGGTCTTGGCATTTTTTACTCTATTAAAAAACTGCTTTAGCAATAGGAAGTTAATCATTGAGCAGCTTCGTATCTCAGAATTCTCCTTTATGCGCTCCAAGACAAACATGATAAATGACACAATATGTAATACATTCCCTTAAAGCAATTGTATAAAGTGAAAATTTGTGTAAGTACTGGACTATGATGGAAGGACCACAGTGAATCTTTGTGTGGATGCAGAGAGGTGAGTACGAGCCGTATTCTTGGCTTATTCAACAGATGATTTGTAGTCAACCCAGCTGGATGCAAATATGCGTCATGGGGCTGCAAATCAAAGATGGCCAGACATGACGCTGTTCACTTTGCCCTTGAGTGTTCTGTTAGCTAAATGAGGTGATAGGCCTTAATAAAGTAGCCCAGTGGGTCAGGTAGATTCAAACGGACCTCTGGATTTGGAAGTGTGTAAGAAGAAAGAAGAGTGAGAAGTACACGAAAGACTGCAAGCTGTAGCTGAAACTTACTGTAGGTATGCATACGCAGAGGCATAATAGAAGAGAATAGACAGAAGGGCTGCATGTGAATCTCTAATGTGTTAAATTTCTGTTAATTTTAGGTCGCATGTTGCTAAATGATTCAAAAAAAGGGCCCCCTCATTTACACTATCGCCGCCCCTATGGCTGTGCAGTATTGAGTATCATGGATGTACTTCAGTCAATTTCCGAAATAAAAGAAGAGAAAGATTTTGTTCTCAAAGTTTACACGTGAGTAACTCCTAGAAGCAAAAGAATTAGGAAAAACACTGTATATGTTGGGTGATGAGATACTAAAGAGAGATTAAATATCAAGGTGCCATAAACTGCATTTGCTGCTTTATCCTCCTCACAATGTGAACTATTGCTGTTGGCACTGGTTTTTGCTCCTTTATTATTCCAGAAGCCCGTAGAAACTAATGAGTATTATCACAGATGTTTCAGGTATGTGAAATGCTTCAGAAATTATTTAATACTGCCCAAATCTGTGTGACATGCAACGCTGCACTTTTATTAATATGATTTATTTTAAATCTACTAAGCTCAACACCAAAGAAATATACTGTATTTCACTTGATGATGGGCATAGTTACTCATGCCTCATCTCCTATTCCTTATCACTCATGGTGACCAACAAAAGAAGTAGAAAACAACTGAAGTCAACAGTGTGTGACCAGAAAACTCAAAACAAGTCAACGTTTTTTGAGCAAGAATCTATCTTCAGTTAGTTGTGATTTTGCACTAACAAATTCTTACTATGAAATGTGGTCTCACAGTCGTAATAAAGAGGCCGCAGACAAACTGTCTGGAGACTGCAGGGAATATTTAAATCTCTTGTCAGTGAGGATAGATACTGGCAAGATCTGTTTTGCAGATGGGCTGAGATACAGCTGACATTACTTTGTGGTCTGTGGCTGCTATCCGAGTAATAAGATAATTTGGGGGGTTATAGAACTTTGTTATTCTTTGGGAAGTGTATTCAGCAGCAGAAAATCTGACATTCAAGGGAAATTATAAATGAAAAAATGGCTTTCACTGTCACTGAAAGATTCTTGGATATCTCTTCATACATTAGAAACCTGTAAGTCCAAAGAAAAGTCTCTCAGAGTCAGCTCTTCCATTCTTCTTTTGCCAACAGTTATGAAACCTGTAGCAAAAATGTCAAGTTTGAGGGAAGAAAATGGTTGTCTTTTTCTCTTTGCCAATAGAATCTGGATAATCTTGGCATTTTGTCACCATTCAGTTTCAGCTTATCTCAAACCTGTGGTTTTTGATTATTTAGTTCATGTTAATATTGGCCTTGTAGATATGTGTTAATATATTGCAACTGCCACTTTTTGAATGTTTACAGTAATGGAACATTCTGAATATCAGATTTCTGTTTTGATGCCCTTTTAATGCATCTTTAGCTTCTTATTCACTGAAAAATAGGAGGGAAAAAACCTGTCAAATATTGGACTTCTCTGTCAGTGACAAATAAAGTCATGCAGCCAGTTAGAGCAATCCAAAGTCCTAGTACTATGATCAAAAAAATCACAGGATAGAGAGCTTCCCTTTTCTTCCTCTTAATCTGAAGTGTTTTGTAAATGTGGATTCCCTTCACACCACCCAAAGTACCAGCTGTATCTGCCTAAATCTTTAAATAGGTTTATACCAGCTGTTGTTCTTCACGTCTGCTTCCCCACACCTTTTGTTTTTAACATCCACGCGCACCCATCACTGCCTTCCCAGAGAGGAAGTAGAGCCCATACAGAATTCAACTCTGTAATCAGATGCTTGTAATTTTTTATCACTCTTATCATTTGCTTGAGTTGTTACAAGTCTGGCACATCATTATTTTATGCTACTGCTGTTTGGAGTGTTTTCTGAAAACCTCCAACAAAAGTCTTGAGAAGGGAAAATGGATATGTCTGAAGGGCACCAGCTTATCCCTTTTGCAGATTTAATAGCTGTTGGTCTTCCACGACAGAATGTTTTCACAGGTTTATCTGCTTGCATCTTCTCTTTGCACATTCTTTTAGCTAACTTACCTTTTCTTGCTTTGTAGACTAAAATTGAAATGACAGATTTTTGTCCTTTCTAAGTTTAAAATTGTATATGAATGCTTCAACAACACTGAACTGATTTTCTTACCTGCTGCTCTCATTTTGGTTATTGTTAAAATGCCTCAGGCCAACCCAAAAACATCATAAAGATGAAATAAGGAGGGAGGTGTATTTTTATTTTTAAAGGAGCAGTAAAAAGCATTCTTTTTGTATGCTATCTGGCTAAAGCTAAAGCTTACAGCTGCCACAGATGAGGCAGTCAGCATACAGCCAGAAAAGCCTTTTCATGGGGAGAAGCTGGAAAAAATTTGAGAGACTGAAAACCTAACAAAAGCTGAAAGAAATACATGGTGTTTCAATGGAGACCTTTGCTGGATCCACAAGAGAGAATGCTTATGGGGAAAAAAAAGAAAAAAAATCAATTTACTTCACCAGTCTTTCTCAGCTTGCCTTATTATTGTTAAAGATTTATGTCGGAAAAATCCTTCTTTCTCACAATCCAGATTTTCCTGTTTGTTAATCCCGCAGTCATGTTATAATCTTACTAAGAGGATATAGTACCACAGCTCTAGTTATAAGCTCATTATGTAAAAGCATGAAGGTTTACTTTTATAATTCTTTTTAATAATATACATGTAAAATATTTTAAAAGTGAGGTGGAAACTAAATTCTCGATCCATTTTTTTTCCTAAGATCACTCAATTTCATATTTTTATATGAATTTTTCTTTCATGTTTTTTCTCATTGAATGTTAGTCTTTGTGTCAATCTTCCCATTCCCCTAAAAACTTCGTGTATTTCTCTTTCATATTATCTTTTTCAGTTTTATTTTTTGTTCTGTTTTCTCTCAATCCCTTTTTTTCCTCCTTCTCCAGCACTAGCTCTTAAAATTCCTACCTTTTAATGTGGTGTATTGCCTGAATGCCTTTCCCTTTTGTTCCCTTATTCAGTCGTTGCTATTTGCCCAGCTGGACAAGAGCGGACATTGCATTTCTGTCCCCATCTGTCTGACATCAGGGTCTGATGTAGTATGGCAAACATTCCAAATGGTAAATTTACTGTAGAACCAGCCAAGCTGAAAAGGTGATGGATGGCTCAGGAGAAAATTCTTATTTAAACTAGAAATACATTTTGTAATACATTTGGTATTTAGGCAAATAAAACATTAACACAATAAAATGCATTACAGGCAAGTGTTTTCAGGCCAGCATTTCAAACTTGGGAGAATATTCTTCTCCTTTGTGTTCAGGAAATGTGAAGTGCAGCTTACGTTGGTAGTTGGTACAAAACTAGCTTCAAGCTATCTTTACAGTCCATTGATTTTGGGCTAACTTTGTTGCAGGTTAATTTGCAGGCATAAGTCATTGGAGGCTGAAATCTATTTTAACTTGCACTCCAGAGGGTGGTACAGCAACTAAAAAGTTATCAGAAGTTAGAAATTTTTTGTAGTCTCAGCTGTGAGGATGGTATAGAATTTGTCCTATTGGTTACCTTTGGGAATATTATTTGCAGTAGGGTGAATGACTTTGAATGTCTTGGCAAGAGACGAGAAGTAAACACAAATATAATTCACAAAAATGTGAAGATAATTATGTTTTTTTCCTGACAGGTAAGCTGAATAATGGTTAAAGTTCAGAGAACACCACAATTATCGAAAGGGTTTTTGCGCTGTCCATTAATGTCTTAGCTCTGTTGTGTTTTGGCTTTGAGAGATTGTTTTGGGGAGTGCAAATGTAGTAATTTGCCGTACTCCTAAGTTCTGGAAGGTCACTTCAGTGCTGACCTATCTTGAGTTACTGTGTGCACATCTGATCTCTCCTCCCAAAACGGGTATGGTAGTTACAGGAGGAATGGAGTAGAGCAACTAAAATGTTTAATGGCATAGAGTAGTTTCTTTATGAGAAAGACTGAGAAGGTGGGGAGCTTCAGTTTGGAGGGAAAAGTGGTGGTGGGAAGGGACTTACAAAACCATGGTGGAGGGTAAACTGTTGTTCACGGAATACAACAGTACAAGAATTAGGGATGCTCAATGACATTGGGAGGAGATGACATTAAAAAAGATGGAAGAAAGGACTTCTTTAGAAAGCAGGTAATGATCTTCTGGCTTTTATTGCCACAGGATGTTGTGAAGACAAGCAGTACTAGCAGGTCCAAAGGGGATAAGACAAGTTTATGAACAACAGGTCCACAAACAGAGGAATAGGAACAGACAGGGATGTACACTCCAACATCACTAATCCAACAACCTCAGGGCAGGGTACGTGAGCCTGACTGCTCACGTTCCCTGCCCAAGTAGCATCTCCTATTACCAGTGTGGGAGGCTTTTTTTTATGTTCATACATTCTTAACAAACAGCTGAGATGTCTGATACCTAAACCCATTGCAGTGAAAGGAGAAATGTTGAGACAGGTGGAGCTAAGATTTCAGGTGGGATAATCCCAGTCTAACTGCACCAGATAACCTAGGAATACAGGAATTCAGCCTGATCAGCGTTTTAATTAAATGAATATTTTTGGATAGCACGCTGGGAGGAAGTAACTCTTAAAGGTTTTCCTCCATTTTTTCCTTTTTTACTGTCTGTACTTCATGTTTAATTTATTCCAAGTTTTCTATGTTCCTTTTGCTTTTATAATAATCAACATTTGCGGGGGGGTGGCAGTAAGTGTGCCATAATAGGCTTTGTGGGTTATCTCGTTGTTCTTGGCAGTATATGGTTTTGCAAAGCTGTAGAAAATTACCAGCTACTACTTGTTCTAGATAGCCTTAATTCCTTTTGCCATGCTATTTTTCAGTTACATAAAGCAGCAGACAAAAATTCCCTACTGTCTTCACAGTAGCTGGTTTGTATCTTACCCTAATTTTGCCAACATTATGTACTCTTGGGGGGAAACAAAAAAAGGGAAAAATGTTAATATGCTTGGGAGAAGTTTTACAAAGTTTCTCAAGATTCCTGTCTTGCTAGGAGCTGAAGGCTTATAGTCTTCTTTTCTTTTTTTTCTTTCTTTTAAGAGTCAATAAGACAGAAGTTTAATTAATCGTTTAATTCAATTGCACTTCAGGAGAAATAAGATTCACTATTGCTACTGAGTTAAAAATTGCTGAAAATTGCTGACTTCATGGGGAATCTTTAAATCTTGCAGTTGTCATTTAAATAAAGCAGAATTAAATATAAAAGGTAATTAGACTTGATCAACATACTGTTTTTTTCTTTTTTTCTTCTTTTCATTTTTAACCAATAGCACTGTTTGTGGAAAAGGTTCCATTTTTGTTTTTCAGTCAGATGGTTATACTGGTAAAATTGTCATTTCAGCTGTGCTTACAATAGTGTAAAGTACTTCATAACGTTTATAGTGCGTCCCTTCATTATGTGGTAACAAGTTATATAGCACTGATGGCACTTTTTTCCTGGTATGACTCCATTCAAGCTTAGTGACTTCAGCAGGCTGTTTATACAGCTTTACATATACTAGTGCAAATAAAGTCGCATGACTTTGATGTTAAGGTAAACAAGAATCCTAATTCAGGTTGACAGGGACCTCTCTAGTCCAACCTCCTTCTCAGAGCAAGGCCAGCTGTGAGACCAGACCAGGCTGCTCAGGGCTTTACCCAGTCATGTCTCAATAATGTCCAAGGATGGAGACTGCACAGCCTCTCTGGACAACCTGTTCCAATAATGGAAAAGCTTTTTCTAATATCCAGTCTGAACCTTTCTTGTTTGTGTTTGTGCCTGTTGCTTTACATCATCTCACTATGCACCACTGAAGAATCTGGCTGGCTCCTTTGTCTTAATAAACTGCTTGTAGGCCTTGCTGTTAATGTTCCCCCTCTTGCCTTGTCTTCTCCAGGCTGAAGAAGCCCAGGTCCCTCAGCATCTCCTCCTACAGCACATGCTCCAGCCACCTGCCCATCCGCAGGACTCTCCCCAGTTGTCTGTTTCGTATTAGAGAGCCCAAAACTGAGCACAGTGTTCTAGATGCAGACTACCAGCCACCAAGTAATGTCTTTTCCCAACTGACAGCAGAAAGATATAAACAAATACTAGTTAAATATTGGTGTGTGTGTAAACAGTAATTTACAAAATACAGCTCTGAATATATCTTATCACTGGAGAAAGTTTTCTCTAGCTTTGGATTCTAAACAGAAGTGTGGCACTTCTGACTCAGGTGCCCAAGATCCAGAAAGACGCAACCATCCTATTTACACATGACTGGGCCATTTTATACCCTTAAACCTCTATTTCCCTAC